TTTATAAAAAATTTTGTAATAATTTTGTAATTAGAATAACTTTGTTATTAATAAAATTGAAAACTTTTATATAAGACAAAAATTTTAATTTTTATTATATTTTATTAATAAAATTATACATATGATTATATAATTCTATTAGTTATTATATATTTATAATTATATAATATATATAGTAATTAATAAAATTATAAAATTATATATATATAAAATTAATAATTTTGTTTTATATAAACGTTTTTAATTTTATTTCTATATTAAAATAAAAATTATAATACAAATTATATATATATATTGAATTTTTCAAATTTAATCTAATAAAATTATTTTAATTGCAAAATTATTGCAAAAATTTTTTATAATTAATTTTATATTATAATTATAAAAAAATTATTAACTTTATATATAACTAGAGAATATTATATAAAATTAAATATAAAAATAAAAAATATTTATTAGTAAATTAAAAACTTTTATATAAAAAAATTTGTATTTTTCAAGTTTTTATTATATTTTATTAATAATTTTTTTTGCTATTATCTCTTAAATTATTAAATTTAGTAAGCAAATTTGTCTGTTAAAATTCTATAAATTTATATTTAATATATTTTTACCAAAAATTAAAATATTTGTTTAATTATTTATTATAATAATTATTTTTACTATTTTAATAATTATAAAAATTAATAATAAAATTACAAAATTAATTACAAAATAAATCAAATATTTTGAGCAATTGTAAATAAAAATTATAAATTTTATATTATATTAATTAAAAATATGCTATATTTTTATTTTAGCTTAAAAAAGAGAGAATTAAGCTTATAAAAATTAGAAATAATAAACTAAAAAAATTTTAGCAGATTAATTTTAGAGATATTATTTTTAATTTTTATAATATAATTTATAATAAATTAACAAAAATACAAATTATTATAGTAAAATATAATAAAAATTAAATTATTTTTTATATTAAAATTTTGTAAATATAAGATAATAATTTTTAATATATATTTTTCTTAATATAAATTATAAATTTATTTTAATATAAAAATTATTTATTAAACTTTATAATAAAAATATATATAGTATAATTAAAAATATTATGATAATATTAAAATTTATTAATAAAATATAATAAAGTATAGATTTTTTTCTTTATATAAAGTTTTTAATTAATATTTTTTATTTTTATATTAAATAAAAATAATATTAAATATTTTAATATATATTTTTTAGATATATTCTAATTAAATTATTTAATTATATATAAAATAATATTTTTTATAATTAAAATATATTAAAAAATTATTAATTTTATATACAATTAGAATAACTTGATCAAATTAAATCTAAAAAATCTGAAAAATTATATATTAAAATATATAATATTATTACTATTTTACTTGAATTTCAAATATATTATATCTTTTATATACTTAATACATATTTTAAATTAAGTAAAAGAAAGAAAATAAATAACTAAAAGTAATGACATGTATTAATCAGCTAAAAAGTAACTTAAGAAATCTTCTTATAATTTAATGTATATTTAAAATGATAATTACAATAATAGTTTATAGATAAGTAAATATTATAAATTTAGTTTATTAGATTATTTTAACAATATGACATCACAGATATGTGAGAGATTATAACAAAACTAATATAAAACTTAAAACTTAAAACTTAAATAATGAAATAATAAAAGATTATTTATTGATAAAATAATAATTTTAATATAATTTCTTATACTTTTTTGTATTTCCAGTAATACGACTACGAATATATAAATTATCATTTTTATTTAAATAAAAACAAAAACGATTTATTGATAAATAGATAATCCAGTTTTTTTATTTCGTAATAAATCGCAAATGATATAATCATCATATATTTTTCTTAAATGATTTTACTATTAATAACAAGAAATGTATCCAAAATATACTATCAATTTTGGTAGTTTTCTTCAAAACAATTTTCCAAGTTGATAATTTTTGTTATATTTTTAACATTAGCAACTTTTTAAAATAGATAATTATCTGTGATACAGATTATTATCATTATCATAGTGCGAGTTGTAATTTACATGGCATTACACGTGATTGTAGTATCCTTATTTATTGGTCGATTATGACACTAGATCGCCGCCAAAAAATTAGCCGCAATATATCGATATAATACCAAGACAGCTTTCTTCGAATTATTGCTAATGATAGCATTCAAATTTGTGAATAAACTCAATAAAGTTTACTTGAATTATTAAATTTAATTTTCTCTAGTCAAAAGACACACAGTTTTTTATAATCAATAACCATAAGTCAAATTTTTATTTTAGTTTAATATGTAGGCTTTGCATTGAGATATAGGACACGATCAAAAATTTTCAGCCGCCCCTCGTATTTATTTTTATTTTTAATTTTGTGTAATTTAACGTTAGTAAATTAGTAAAAACTCAACATCAGTTTGAAGTTAAAGTTAAAATCCATCGATTTATGCTATTTTCTATGTCTTTCCAGAAGAAAAGAATAATATTACTGAAAATATCGTGACTGAAAGTGAAAATTAGAATAGTTGATTTCATAGAACTGAAAATTCTCTTTTAAATATTAATAATCTCAACTATTATAATTCTATTAATTCGGAATGTAATTACCAAATGACTTATTGCCATCAATTCGGAATCGATACAAAAATTAATAGATTACAAGCATATCAATTTTATAATAGTGTATATAATGCTATTTTTCTAGTACCGGCACTCGAGGAATCACCCTGAAATTCTCAAATAGTCGCGATGAACGGGTTAGGGAATATAACCTTGGATACTGTTACAAATATAGTATCGGATCAAAAAGAATAAGAAAGAGGCATTTATATGGCGTAATGACAGGAGAAACAACGGCCCGAGAGATGCTAATATTATGGTGAAGAAGCAACGAAGAATACGGAACAACGAAGAATATGGATCTATGCCATTATTGGCTTCTTCTTTCACGAGACAAGAAGAATTAATCGCCACAAATTTTACGAATGAAAAGAAAGGGTTCAATTCGGCTTTTTATTGGTTTGGTTTGGTGGCAATGATAGAAATTTAGCATGTGTAAATTGTTGGCTAGTGGATATGCGAATTGTGACGGTATTATAAAAATTTGCACGGTGATAAAGTGGCATTGGAGTTCGTTCAAAACGTTAAGCTTCTATATTTAGTAATAATAGAAAAGATCGATAATAAAACTAAACTGTAAAAGATTTATTAATGAATGATTTATTAATGAATGAGGTTAACAACTCGTTTATGAATTCCTATAATAATTTCATTTCAAATATTATAGTCATTTTCCCTTAAAATTTGATCACATTGTCATTGTCGTTTTTATTTGTTATGTATAGCCATGCGAATTTTATTGATTATGTAATGTTTTATTGGTTATGTAATGTTCACACAAACCTACAGATGCTAACCAGATACTTCCATTGATTTGTTTTTTTGCTCTTACATAAAAAATTTTTTCTGAGTTGACTAACCGAATTTGATTAACCGAATATACACTAAAATTTTCCGAAAAACAATATAAGTGTGTATATAAATAATTTAATATAAAATAAAATAATAGGATAATTTAGGGGGTTAAATCCATTTGTTTATTGATTATCAGCGGACAATTGCATCATATGAAAAAAATTTTCTATTGCTTTAAACTACTATATATATAAATAACATTTAAGGATGAATACTCGTTGTTGTTTCGTTGATACTATTCGCTATCTTTAGTATGACTTTTTCTTTGTCATTGCCTTTGTCATTGCACACACACATACATGTATGCACATTTTACAGGAGACAACATTCATAAGCAATTGTCTTTCAAATCACGTGATGGATCGGGTAAATCGAATTGAAAAATGCAATAGAATTATCACATTTGAAATTTCATGCAACCAATCGGAATGCTATTATATAAAAAATTATATCCTCATTAAATATTATGTAATAATTTCTCTTTCAATAAAAAAATAAAGATTCGGAAAAATGATCAATTTTATTGTATAGTGGGGTTATTAAATTACTCTTGATTGATATAGTCTTACGCACACTAAACTGAAAAAATGCAAGATTGTTTGGATAATAACAGGAAAACCGGGATTGTTTCATCTCGTGAAGATGTTTCACATTTATATTTTGCCCAAAAGATTTGATTCTAATATAATATCCTTAGCAATGTCAAAAACATTTGCTTTGACATTGAAATAAATTCTTTCAAATGTTTCTGCGTCTATGTTTACGCATCTTTCATGATAAGACATACCGACTTCCCGGGTGTTAAGTGTATTTTTGAAATTAGATTTTCTTATCTGCATATTCTAGGTGAGTCTACAATAATCATAGTGCAAAAACGAGACCTTAAATTATTAGAATCCTTGCTAATTTAAGAAATTCGATACATTCATCCATAAAAGAAAGATAGATAACGAAGCGGAACAAGGTCTTGTGATCCTACAATAGAAAAATGGTAATTAAAATGCATATTTGAATGATGCATTTTCAAAAAGGATGCCAGATATTCCTGATTCGTTTTTATGCAGCAATCTTAGTACCATGACATCTTTCATTTTTTATTATCTTTTTCGATCGCCAATAACGATAGCATAAAATTTCTATAAAATTGCGCCTTATCCCATTATGGAAATAGAATTGCAGACAGAAGAAGTAAGAATTTCACATATATAAAAATGCGCATATTCGGCAAAAATAGTGATAATCTTTGTAATATTTGAGTGTGGTATTAATTGGTGAAACATATCAACGCCTTTTTCACTTCATCGTGCAGCTGTCAAACTTGTGGCGCAAAATGCGAGCATGTAGTATATCAATAACTCTCGCGCATTTGTGAAAAATGAGATTCAATGCAAACAAACCCTGTCGATTTTATTTTCTCCATCTAATAACATATCAGAATTGGTTCGATATTTCTCGCAAGTAAAAAAAATTTGACGCTATGGCTTCTTGCAAAATATCGAACCTTGAAGTTTATGATTACGAATCAAACCAACAAATATTACGTAACTTAGTTGAAATATTCGATTCAAAAAACCACCAACTTGTTAACGACATCCAACTTGCCAACCTCATTAACAGCTGGATTGAAGAGAATAACTTCGACACTACGGAAATCTTTAAGCTTGTTTATTCTAACATAACACAAATTCGGACACCTTCATTACTTGCCATCTTTTATAACTTCGGGATCGGAACACCGCGAGATCCAGTATCCGCTTTTCACTGGTTCGAGGAAGCTGCAAACCGTCATGACCCATTATCTCAGTGCATTATAGGCCAATGTTATCAAGATCAAGCAGATTTTAATACAGCGTTTTATTGGTATAAACTTTCAGCAACCAAAAATCATCCAGAAGGACAATACCACCTTGCTTTTCTCATTATATACACAAGAACTAACAATGTTGAATATAATAGAGAGAAAGCATTCGAGTTGATGTCACAAGCTGCTTTAAAAAATCATCTAAAAGCTCAATATTTTCTCGGTAATTTTTATTATGATGGTACGGGCATATCATCTAATTTCGAAATAGCATTTAATTGGTATGAAAAAGCAGCAAGTCGTGGTCATCAAGGTGCGATCAACAAAGTCGCTGAGTGTTATGAAATGGGTTGCGGTACTTCATATAATATTCGAAAAGCATTCTATTGGTCACTCAAAGGAGCAAGCATCGATAGTCCCGAAGAAAGTTTCAATAATCTCGATTCAGACGAATCAAAAATAAGACTCGCAGATTATTACGAAAATGGAATCGGTACTGAAAAAGATATTCATCAGAGCTTCAGATGGCGTCGGAGAGCTGTTCGTTTTTGATAAATTTACCATTTTGTTTGCAAATTATGAAAAACCTTAAGTAGCAGTTTATTGATTAAGCTATTTTTTTTATCACCACTTCTTTTTTATATTTCTTACGCGCGCATAAGAGCTTTTGTATTATTTTATTAAACCTATCAAGTAATTACTTAAATCAATTCAAAAAAATTAAGATCCATTTTATTATTAATCTTTCACTTTTAACATTCAATAGATAATTTTCTCCTTTCGATTTCGTTATTATAATCTTAAATTTATTCCTTTATTTTATGTTATTCAATATATCATGCCGATAGCTAATTACGACGAAAAGTACAAATATTATGTACTTTTCGGGACATAAAATTTTCTGCTGGATCTTCACGTGTAAAAAACGCGCGTAATTTTTTCTCAGCGTATATGTTGTAAGTGGGAATGGGATATTGGTTGATTCGGAATCCACTTAGTGTAGATTTAGAATCTTTCGGCCAACACTAATCTTACCATCAACATTAACTCTTACTATAGTCGACCCCTATCTTAATTTGAGCTGATTCATATCCACATATATCCCGTTCTCACCTAGAACCTAGAACATATGTTTGATTATTAAAAAACCAAAAATGATGAATTTCAGGGCAAAAATGTATCGATCACGTGGTTAGAGTGAAAGAAAGAGTTATATGTAAAATTATCACTTCGACATTTTTCATTAGTAGATTGCATTTTTTTGTGTCTGATTTGTTTTGGCGGGTTGATCAAAAATTTGCGCATCCTTATTGGTGGAGATTTTTTACCCAGCTCGCCCACGATCGATTTTCCCGGTCGCAAAAATTACCAAAGATTAGGGTTAGCATTCGAGTTGGCGTAAGGTTATATGTAAAATTGTATCTTATTCCCGTATTTTTGCATTCTCATTGGTTTCGAGATCGTCAGGGTCGGGAAATTACGTGAAAGAAAATCGATCGTGAATGAGCCAAGTAGCCATGGCAAAGAAAGGTGTCAGATCATGTGATTCCGATCCCGACGCCGACCATCCGATATCCCTTAAAAATTATGCACCAATCAAATCGCAAGATCAATGTGCAACGCAAAAATTCAAAAATAAACAAAAATGTTTATTTTTGAAAAATAGCTTGTATCTTAAAATTTTGCCTATGAAACTATCTTTTGTGCTTTAATAAAAAATGTTTCTTGCGAAATTTTACTATATATTATACGCCTATTTATTATACAATAACATTAACTCTAAACCTAAACCTAACCGAAATTCTATTTAATATTATGCATCGGGATTGGAATCACATAATCTGACACCTTTTTTTTGCCATGGCTAGTACTTAGGATGAGCTGGGTGTAGCTCACTGGTCTGACTCTTCAACCATTTCCGGCCCGAAAAACGGACCAGCCTTTTCGGTCACATGTCTATATACCGACGCATTCATTGATGTTATCACTTCTCAAATACAAATTTAACTGGTAAAGGACTTTCTTGATAATATTGTCGGTTAATTTTGTAGTTATGGTGTAGGACACTTAAAGATGCCCATAAAATTTAGTTATCTTTAAAAGGCAAAGGAGATCGCGGTCCCCTTTTTAGAAAATAATCACTTTCGATGGCCAATAGGACAAATAAGGTGATCTGTGATCGTCAAAATCAAATTTGATTAGTCAATCATGAATCACGTTTTGTTACTTTATTAGTTATTTCAATAAATCACTTAGCAAATGACACGTATATTGTGATAATTACGTGATTTTTTACAAGTGATCAGAAATCGATTTTTTGTTTTATATAAAAATTTTTTATTTTTATATTAGATAAAGTTCATAAATTATAATTTAATATATATATATATATATAGTAACAATCAAAAGAATGAAATAATAAAACAAATTTATTAATAAATATATTAAAAATTATAAAAATTAAAATTTTATCTTATATAAAATTTTTAATTTTATTAATATTTTTTCTAATTGTAAAAATTTTTTATAATTAAATTTATATTTTAATTATAAAAATTTTTTGTAATAAATTTTTAATCAAAATAATTTTATTAAATAAAATCTTAAAAATTCAGAAAAAAATATATATTAAAATATAAACTATAATTTTATTTTAATATAAAAATAAAAATATTTATTAATAAAATTAAAAATATTTATATAATAATAATTTTTATTATTTTTGATTATTATTATATAAAATATAAAATATAATCTTTATTTTAATACAAAAATAAAAATTTTTATAAAATATTTTAATTTTACTATATTTTAATAATAAATTTTACAAATAGTATATTATTTTTATAAGTTATTATAAATTGAAAACTGAAAAAAAGTTTAATTCAGTTCAATTTTAATTAAATTTGAATCTTATTAAAAGTTCTGTTTGAAAATTTTAAATTCAGTTCAAACTTCGAATCTGATTTGAACCTAATCAAAATCTAGTTTAAGTTCAAATAAATATTTAATAATATTTTAAGTAAACTTGTAATTACAACTTGAATTACAAATTAATACAAAATAATTAATATTTAAAATAAATATTTAAAAAGTTATATAAGTTTAAAAAATATTTATAATTTTAATTCACTTTATTTATATTATAGTAAATATTTATTTATTAATAATAATTATAAACTATAATTTTAAGTAAAGTTATAGCCAAAAATAAGAGTTACAATTTAATATAAGATAATAATATATATTTAAAGAATTATATAAAATTTACAAGTAAACTTTTAATTCTTATTAAATATTATAAATTATATATATATATATATAAGCAAAGTTTTAACTCATATTTAGAGCTATAAATTAATACAAAATACTATATATTAATTTCAATTTTAACTTGAACCAAACTCAAACTTATATAATAATTTAGTTTAAGTTTAGTTTGAACTTCAATTTTTTTTTAAATTTAAATCAAAGTTAATTCAAGCTTGATTCAAATTTTGAATTAGACTCAAATTTAGAATTAAAGTTCAGTTTATAGAAATACTAGTTATAAATAATATTAAATAATATATAATAATATATAATAATTTACAAACTATATATTATTTTTAAAATCTATTATTATAATTTAAAATTTTTATTAAATTTTATTAATAATTTTATAAAATAATTAAATAGAAATTTATTTGAATATTTTTAAAAAATATCTGAATATTTTTCAAATATTTTTTTAAATTATTATATTTTATTTTTTATTAAAATTACAGAAATTTATTAATGAATTTAATAAATTTCTAATTTTATTACAAAAATTTTTACTTTTTTTGAAAGTATTTTAATAAATTTTAAAAATTTTTTACTATATTTTGAATTATTTTTGGAATTAATATTTTATTAAATTATAATATATTTTTTGATTTTGATTTATTTTTAAAATATGAATTTTTATTTTTATATAAAAGTTTTTAAGTTTATATTTTAATATATATTTTTCTAAATTTTTATATTTAATCTGAAAAAGTTTTTCTAATTGCAAATAAGTTAATTAATTTTTTATAATTATTATTTATATTTTTATATAAAAATAACATATATTAATAAGATTAAAATTTTTATATAAAGGGAAAAATCTATATTTAAAATATTATATTAATTAATTTTAATATTCTTGCATTTTTTTAATTATTATTATATATTTTTTTATATTTTTTAATTTATTCTTAAAGAAAATTAATAATTTTTATAATTTTAATTTTATTGATCAATATTTTTTTTATTAATAAATATAAAATATTTTAAAATATTATATATTTATTTTGTTTTTTTCTTAATAAGTTTAATATATTTTTTATTTTTATTTATTAATAAATTGAATTTAAATCTTAGTATTATATGTAGTATAATTTGAAAAATAAATAAAAAATTATATAATTAAATATTTTTATATACAAAAATCTATTAGATATTTTAATATTATTAAATTTGATTTTATTTGATATTAATTAATAAAATAATTAAAAAATTTTTTAGAAAATGTTATTTCTTAAAATTTTGATTATATTATATATTGTTACCATATTATATGAGTCCTTGGGAGAGTTGGTGAGTGCTTAATAACGTTATAATAAGTTACTTGGTCAGGGTAATTATAGTAAAGTTTATTAAGAATGACGGGTG